GCGTGCGCTGAGGAAATCTGCGGGGGGTGCGAGCCCGAGCCTTCCACCAAGCGGATTCCAGAACTCCACTCGCGGTCGCGGTACACCTCTCTGAAGCTTGAGGCAAAATGGCACTGCACTTGCGCTGGCTCACCCTTGGCTCAGCGGCCCGTGAATGTGCATGCAGGCGCGGGGACGAGTCGGGACATCCCACAAGCTCCCTCAGAATCTGCTCAAAGCATGCCCTGACAATTATACAGGACAGTTTTTTTTATACATAGGATTTTGAATATATAGGATTTGTAATACATCATCAATGTATGGATAAATGTGTGCATGACCTCATCTTTGTTTTTAATACTAAATCCCTGCAAGTGTAATACATGATCCGCACGCGGAGCATGTATTAAAAACGGCACTGTACCATGGACACCGCCGCCCTGGTCATTTGCTCGAGCTGCCGTCGGCCTTGGCGAGCTGTTGGGACTACAAGGGCATCCTCGACCGGGTGACACCCCGGCGTCAACGGATACCAGGTCAGATCCCAAGCGGCATGACGAAAGGTGGAGAGCGCGATATGCCGCACAAACACGGGGGACCGTGCGGGAGAGCATTCGCAATACGGGCCGAACCATCTACGGAAGGACATACGGAAGGCCATACGGGAGACCACATGTGAGGCCACACCAAAGACCTCAAGTCGGGGAGACCATACCTGAGAGTCCTCGGCAAGAGACCATACGAAGAGACGATACAAGGGACCATACGGGAGACCATCAGATCCGCCGACCCCCTGTGGGTCTGCAGGCGTCTGAGACTGCTCCCCCCGGGGACTCCCACCTGAGACCCCCCAACACGACCCCACCGGCCCCTCGCCCCCTTCCCTTGAGCAGGGACTGACCGTCCCAGCATTCCTATAGTCCTACCACGAAATGCTCTTAGAACCCGAAAATGTTCTAATTCGCCGGCCCAACGGGCCAGGGCGTGCTAAGATCTCCGGTAACTGATTAACAGTATTAACAATATTTCTAGTTCGCGCGCGCGGGGCGGCCCCTGGGGGTCCCCCGGCGAAAAGTACCCCGACCAACGCCCGGTCGCCGCCCGGTCGCCGCCCGACCGCCGCCCGACCGCCGCCCGACCAAGTCTACTCAGAGATGGTTTTTCTTCTGGGTGCGGCCTCTCAGGCTCCCCAGAGCGCGCTCAGAGTGCCCCAAGAGGCCCCCAAGACTGCCCAAGAGGCCCCCGAGACGCCCAAAGAGCGCTCGAAGACGCCGAAGATGACCCCAAGACGGCCCAAAAGGCCCCCAAGACAGCCCAAGAGGCCTCCAAGACGCCCCAAGAGCCTTCCAAGAGGCCTCCGAAGAGAGCCCCAAGAGGCCAAAATCGTTGATTTTCATTTGTTTTTTCTATGTTTTTGGTGTTTTGGCTTTTTCGGCTTCCGGACGCTCCAAGACGGCCCAAGAGGCCCCCAAGACCGCTCCAAGACGGCCCACGAAGCTCCCAAGACGGCGCCGAAACGACCCAAGAGAGCCCTCAAGTCGGCCCAAGTGCCGCCCAAGACGGACCAAGAGGCCCCAAGACGGGCCCAAGAGGGACTCAGGAGGGATACCGAGAACTCAAAAATGGAGCCCTCCGTCCCAGAAAGCGCCCAGGAGGTCCCAAAGAGGCCCCAAGAGGCCTCCAAGAGGCCCCAAGATGTCGCCAAGAGGCCCCAGGAGACTCCCAGGAGGCCCAAAAGAAGCCCCAGAAGGCTTCGAACATGTCTCCCAGGCGCCCCCGAACGGCCTCTCAACAGACCCCAAGAGGCCCCCCAAGGAAGCATCTTGACGACGACCCTATTTCGCCCCATCGAGAGACGACCCCCAGGGAACTGCTTCGCCATCAAAACTCCCCACGCAACGCGTCCGAACGACACCCGCCCCCAAGAGCGCAACATGGGCAACGAACACACAGACAAAAACCAGCGATGCCATATCACGGGCCGGCGGAATGAGCGAAGCGATTCAATAATCTAGCAATGTCGTAACCGAGGCGAAGGGACTCCCCTTTCCTTTGATCCCCTGCTCGTCGGGGTGGGGGGTCCCGGGGGAGTAGGAAGGGTGGATGGGGGTGGGGAGGCAAATACGCATTCCCCCCTGGGAGTTCCCGGGGCCTTAGAAAGTACAAAGACAGGCCAAAGGGGGCCCCAAGAGGCCCCCGAGACAGTCCAAGAGGGTCCCCAATCGCCAAACGATCAGTCCAAAAACGCCTTCACGCCCACTAGTCTGCCCAAAAGGCCTCCAAGACGCCCCAAGAAGCCTCCAAGAGCACTCCCGAGAGGGCACCAAGAGGCACAATCAGTTCACGTTCCGTAGGTGTTCAAAAGATTTGGACATTCTCGCCTTTTCCTTTTCTCGCAGCTCCAAGACGGCCCGAACGGCCCCAAAGATCGCCCCAGGACGCAAGAGAGCCCAACAACAGCCTAAGAGGACCCCAAGAAAGCCCAAAATGCCTTCAAGACGGCCCAAGAGGACCCCAAGACGGCTCCAAAAGCGTGCGCAGACGGGGGACCCGAACGGACATTTCGAGTCCTCGGCTCCGAGAGGCTCCCAGGAGGCCCCAAGAGGTTCCTAAGAGGCCCCAAGAGGCCCTCAAGAGGTCCCCATGGAGCCCGAAGAGGCTCCAGAGAGACCCCCAAGAGGCTCCAAGGGGCTCCCTAGAGGCGCCCAAGAGCCTTCCAAAGGGACCCCAAGAGACATCTTGGGCCGTCTTGGAAGCTTATTGCGCAAGCTTGGAGGCGTCTTGGACGCTCTTGGGCGGTCGTGGAGGACATCTTGGACTATCTTGAATGAACTTGAAAACTTGGGCCATCTTGGAGCCATCTGGAGCGGAACACCGTTTGCAACCACCTCTGGGCAAGCCTTCCGGGTGGCCAGCGCATCGGCCGAAGCCCCAAGGGGGAGCTCTAAAAGAACCAAAACCCTGCCGCACTTCAGCACGCCAGGGACCCCTGTGGCAAGCCAGCAGGCGGCAGCGGATCTACCGCCCGTCGGCTCAGACCGCCACTGTGCCTCGGTGGCGGGTCAGAGGCTTCTGGGACACCTGCTGGGGTCTCCTGTCATGCCTCCTCTCGGGGGCCTCTGGGAGCCAGTTTTGGAAGCCTCCTTCGGGACTGTGGGGGGGCATTGGGGGGCCATTCTTCGGCCGTTGGGGCCGTCTTGGGAAGCTCGTTGGGCCTCCTGGAGCACTCTTAGGAGTCTCTTGGGCTGTCTGGGACGATCCTTGGGGCCTCATGGGCGCTGCGAAGATCTAAGCATGGAGCGTGCTGGAACCGCACGTTTTGCTATGAGATTGGAGCAGAGCTGGCTTTCCCAGGCCCTCTTAGGGAGCATCTTGCAGCCCCCTTGTTTTTTCATCTCAAGGAGTTGTGTAACAGCTGGCCCCGCAGTGCCTACCCAGCCGACGGAGCCGCCGGACGCAGTGGCCGCTTCGGAGCAGCTGTCGAAGTGATGAGGCGCCCTCACGCGAGGCCTGCTACTGCAACTGAAGCCACAGCTGGGCCCCCGTCGCCGCGCGGTCCTGCCACAAGGGCCAAACGCTGCGCACAGGCGTCAGGTGTGACAGCTGGCCTCGCAGTCCCCACAAGGATGGCCTACCCAACCGACGGAGCCGCCGGACGCAGCGGCCGCTGCGGGGCAGAGAGACGCGCTCTGACCCGTCAGGGAAGAGATCTGCATCAGGGAAGGGTGGTGGACGCATTCCTCCGAAGGCATCGCTGCCTCCGTATGATCACATTCTCCTAATAACCCTCCGACTGAAAACCCAGAATGCCTTAGATGATTGACGTAAAAATTCAACATGATCGACCCACGAACCCTGAAAGGAATGTAGAAATGTAAGGCATGGCAACGTTTCAAAGACACCTGATTGGGCGGCGGGCACATGCAATGCTGAATGTATCGATCTTGATGTACCGTGCCGAGGGTTGTGCTGTGCTACGCCGTGCTGAACTGCGATGTGCCGTGCCGCGATTATGCTCTATATAGCGCTGTGGATCGAGCCCTCTTTGCACCCGAGTCCTCACCGAACTGATCTGGATCTTAAGCTCGAGCTGCCTGCCTGAGCAGATGGTAGCTGCCCCAGAACGAATCGACAGGTGGACATGCCAGGAGGACGCGCAGCGGAACGTCCCCAGGGACGCGCCAGGCGACGTGCCAGGGGACGTGCCATGGGCACGCACCGCGGGACGTGCCAAGGGGACGCGCTACGGAACGTGCCAGTGGACGTGCACCGCGCGACGTGGCCAAAAAGAAAAACGAGGAGGGACGCGCCACGGGGCCGCTCCGCGGACGAGCCTTGACGCCCCCGTGAGACACACAGAAAGCAACCAAACTGCACAACACAAGAAGAAAAAACACAAACCACATACAACCAAAATAAATGAATAAAAAGAAGGCAAAAAAAAAGAAAACCCCCAACTGCACCAAAAAAAAACAAAAAAACAAAAACAACAAACAAGGAATAACAAGGGTAGGGCGAGGCCTTCGGCTTGCAATGCTAAGGGTATCGATATTGATGTACCGTGCCGAGGGCTATGCTGTGCCTGGGCGATCTGGACACGTGAAAACACGCGTTTCGCTCAAGACGTTCTCAACACATCCTCATGCTAGACTCCCGCCTGGGCAACCTGGACACGTGCAAACAAGCGTCTCGATCGAGACTTCCTCGACACACCCTCATGCTAGACATCTGCCTGGGCGACCTGGACACGTGAAAACAAGCCGCTGGTTCGAGACATCCTCAACAAGTCATCATGCTAGACATCTGTCTGGGCAACCTGGAGGCGTGAAACCAAGCGTCTCACTCGAGACATCCTCAAGACCTGGGCACGTGAAAACAAGTATTTCACTTGAGAGATCCTCTGAATTCAGGCCCCCAGGAGAGGACAAGCTATAACACAAAAACAAGCGTTTCGCTCGAGAGATCCTCAACAAATTCTGAAAAACAAGCGTTTCGCTCGAGACATCCTCACACATAAATTCGCCGTCCCTGAAAGACCTCGTTATCGCAAATAATTTCGCCGGTCCTAGAGCCGTCGAAACCACGGGTAAACAGCTAAAAGAGAACCCTGGGGCCCCGCCCTTTCGGGGAAAAAAGGCACGACCGTGCCTGCCCAATACGTGTGTGGCGGCATCCAGGCTGTGCCTTCGCGACCACGGGCCACTCTAATAAATGTCTGCCCCATCCGGGTCGATGGAAAAAAGCGAGCCGATTGATCCAGTCGGGTACGCATAATTCAGGACACGTGCGACCCCGAGGATCCAGAAGATGCACGGAGGCGGCCGCCTGTGGAGACGGCGCGTCAAACACCTCCTCACACTGCCCTGAAAAGGCAGTGGAATAAACCGCGTGAGATGAAGCTTCGGGACACCCCCAACGCTAGCATGCGGCTCAAAACATGGCGCAGGCGGCAAGCACGCGCGCAATGCGACTGTCCCCGCTGCTGGCTCTCACTCTCTCTTTCCAGATGCGTCGGAGCAGGGCGAAGGCGCTTACGTACGCGAACGCATGCCTGCCCTGCTGGGGCTCGGACAACTGAACACTCCACCAGTGTCGGGAACGAGGGACTCGCCATCGAGGGAGTCGGCATCGGTGGACTCGCCATCGAAGGACTCGACGAGGCCCACGATCGACACATCCTTGCCTTTGCGTGTGGGGAGGAGCACGGTATCAACGTCGTCGGGAAACCACCCGCCCTCCTTCGGCACGAGCGATGATCCGGCATTCCCCAGCATTGGCCACTCCAACTCTAGGTTCCACATCTTCACGTTTCTAAGGCTTCCGTGGAAGGCCTGGTCGGTGTACATGTAGTGGCCGCCCACGATCATGCGCGGCCTGTCCTGTCGCAGAGGGGCCATGCCCTCTGCGTTCTCCCCTACGAGCGCACCGTCCTTGAAGACCCGCATGTGCCCCGAGGGCGAGACCGTGCACAGCATGGTAACCTTTTCTCCGAGCTCGAAGAAATTGCTCACGGTCACGCTGAACGGCTTCTTCCCCCGGAAGACTGTGAAATGCAGGTCGCGCGTCAGCCCGGCGGCCCCGGCCGTGATGCTGTCCTCGTCGGCTACGAGGGAGAAGTCGAACACGCGGCTCCAGCTGCCGATGCCATCCATCCTGTGGGGAAGCTAGAAGCTATCGATATCGCTTCTCCTCGGACCTCTCCTGGGGTGCGTTCTGCCCAGAACTTCGAGCCGACTTCGGAGCGAATCCAGCCGAGTCGACGAGGCCTCCCCAGAACGAGCAGCGATAAATATCAGCACCTTTTCCGCCTCGAATCCTCAGGGCGCACATGAACGAGAACGCCCCCCCGCCCCGCCATACCGCACGGCCATGCTCGCGCCGAGAAGCGCCAAAGAAAGGAGGAGGCAGAGAGTGTTTATAGGCTGAAGTTCAACTTGGTGCCATCCCAGGGACTCCACGAGGGCTCCGTGAAGGCCAGCGCAAAAAAACAAAAAGCAAAAGAACAAATGGAATTCACAGAGAGCAAATCAAGCATTCAAACAAAACAGAAAAAACAGCGAAAACAAGTCATAACAAGAAACAAATGACAGGAGACAATAAGAAGCAAATAGAAAACAAGCAGCGCCTCGCCTGGGCCCGCCGCGCGGGGCCGAGGGCCCGCGCTGGCCTCCGCGGCCTCCCCCGCCGTCGCTCCCCGCGCGCCGTGCACGGCCAGGTGCCCAGGCATCGCTGCGCAGCGTGCCGAAGACGTGCGCGGAGGTCGCGAGATGCAGTTGGTGAAAAAACGATCTGGAAAGGAGGGCTTGTGCGGTCCAATTCGTGTGCGGTCCTAGGGCCAGCGGCTGTAGATCGGGGACGATGGTGAGCAGAGCCTCACACACACATACACACACACGCACACGCAAACACACACACATATACACACACACGCAACCGCATCACGCACACACACACACGCACACACACACACACACACGCACGCACGCACGCACGCACGCACGCACACACACACACACACACACACACACACACACACACACACAAGACACCCACACCAAAACCGCGCGATACGTACACACGCACGCACACGCACGACGACACACGAGAAAGCATTAGTACACACCCCGCACACCACACCACATACGCCATACACACATACACACACATACACCACGTACCACACCGCACACCACACGCCGCACTACCGCACAATCCCCAGAAAGGGGAAGCAAAAGAAGAAAACACACGCACACGCACACCACCACGCACACGCACACGCACACGCACACGCACACATACACACACGCACACACACACACACGCACACATACACACACACACACACGCGCGCGCACGCGCACGTGCACACATCACGCATCACGCGCACGCACACGCATTACGCATCACTCGCGCGCATCACGCATTACGCATCACGCACACGCATCACGCATGTCGTACACCCACACGCACACGCACACGCATCACACACACACACACGCACACGCACACGCATACGCACACCGCATACGCACACCACTCGAACACGCAACACGCACACACAAACACACACTCACCACACGCCAATCACAAGCAACACCAACCCACACAACCACACTGCAACACGTACACGCACAACGCACACGCAAACACCGCACATACGCACAGATACACACATATGAAGGGAAAGACACACACACACGCAACAACGACACGCAGATGCACACGCACACGCACACGCACACGCACACGCACACGCATACGCACACGCACACACAGATACACACAGACGCACACGCACACAGACACGCACACGCACACACACAGACGCACACGCACACACACACACACACACACACACACACACACACACACACACACACACACACACACGCACACGCACACGCACCCACACTCACACACACACACACACACACACACACGCACACACACACATACACACATGCCGAGTGACGCCACGGCTGGACGCAACTCGAAAAGACCGGCCGGGGCGGGCCCCACGAGGGGTCCAGGGAGATTGCTCTTGAACAGATTCGGTTCGGAGGGCAGGGCGGGGTGGGAGGGTGGGTGGGGGCGGCGGCCTTCCAAGTGAGCAGAGGGGCTCCTGGAGGGGCTCGGAGACTTCTGAAAACCATGATGCGTCCTGCTTCATATTTGAAGGCTGCCCAGCTCGAATATGGCACCCCCCTCTGTGCGCTGCCGACAACAAAGCCCGACACGCCCCCTGTCGGCGAGGCATGGGCGATTGGGGGTCGATTCGTATGCCCCCTGGAGCCTATCCCCTTACCGCTGCCCCTGATCCCAGGGGGCTCCTCTTCCTCCTCCTCCTCCTCCTACTCTTCCTCTACTCCTCCTCCTGCTGCTGCTCGCTGCTCCCTCCCTCTCCTCCTCCTCCTCCTCCCTCCTCCTCCTCCTCCGCCTCCTCCTCCTCCTCCTCCTCCTCCTCCTCCTCCTCCTCCGCCTCCTCCTCCTCCTCCTCCTCCTCCTCCTCCTCCTCTCCCCTACCTCCCTCCTCCTCCTCCTCCCCTCCTCCTCCTCACCCTCCTCCCACCTCCCCCTCCCTCCTCCTCCTCCTCCTCCTCCTCCTCCTCCTCCTCCTCCTCCTCCTCCTCCTCCTCCTCCGGGCCGAGGAGGGAAGAGGGAGATGAGGCTGCGTTCGCCCACGTGGGTCCCGACTTTCCCCAAGCCCGACACGCCCCCTGTCGGCGAGGCATGGGCGATTGGGGGTCGATTCGTATGCCCCCTGGAGCCTATCCCCTTACCGCTGCCCCTGATCCCAGGGGGCTCCTCTTCCTCCTCCTCCTCCTCCTACTCTTCCTCCTCCTCCTCCTCCTGCTGCTGCTGCTGCTCCTCCCTCTCCTCCTCCTCCTCCTCCTCCTCCTCCCCCTCCACCTCCTCCTCCTTCCTCTCCTCCTCCTCCTCCTCCGCCTCCTCCTCCTCCTCCTCCTCCTCCTCCTCCTCCTCCGGGCCGAGGAGGGAAGAGGGAGATGAGGCTGCGTTCGCCCACGTGGGTCCCGACTTTCCCCAAGCACTCCACGGACAAGAGGCACCAGCGCGGCGAGCCGATCTCTGCAGGTGCGCTTCTTTTTGGCTTGCAGAGGAAGACAGCGAAGAAACAGCAGCAACAAGATGGGGCGGGTAACATGGTCGGCCCACGAAGACGGAGAGGAATCTAGAGATGTGAAATATAGACAAGTAAGACACGGCAATGTGTTCGAAAACACATGATTGGGCGACGGGCGAATGTAATGCCGAATGTGTCGATCTTGATGTACCGTGCCGAATGCTGTGCTGTGCTGCGCCGTGCTGAACTGCGATGTGCCATGCCGCGATTGTGCTCTGTATAGCGTTGTGGATCGAGTCCTCCCTGGCATCCGAGTCCTGACCGAACTGATCTGGATCTTAAGCTCGAGCTGCCTGAGCAGATGGTAGCTGCCCCAGAACTAATCGACAGAGGGGACATGCCAGGAGGACGCGCCGCGGAACGTCCCAAGGGACGCGCCAGGCGACGTGCCAGAAGACGTGCCATGGGCACGCACCGCGGGGCGTGCCAAGGGGACGCGCTACGGAACGTGCCAATGGACGTGCCGCGGGACGTGCCAGGGGACGCGCCGCGCGACGTGCCAGGTGGACTCGCCACGGAACGTGCCAAGGAACGTGCCAAGGTGCAATGTTGAACGTATCGATCTTGATGTACCGTGCCGACGACCGTACCTGAATTGCGATGTGCCATGCCGCGATTGTGCTGCAAAACTTTGTGGATCGAGTCCTCCTTTGCATCCGCGTCCTGACCGAACTGATCTGGATCTTAAGCTCGAGCTGCCTGAGCACATAGCCTTTGCCCCAAACCCAATTGACAGGGGGACATGCCAGGAGGACGCGCGGAACGACCCAAGGGACGCGCCAAGCGACGTGCCAGGGGACGTGCCATGGGCACGCACCGCGGGACGTGCCAAGGGGACGCCCTACGGAACGTGCCAGGGGCAATCGTTTCGTTCGAGACATCCTGCCCAAATCCTCATGCTAGACATCCGCCTGGGCGACATGGACACGTGAAAGCAAACGTTTCCGCCAACACATCCTCATGCTAGACATCCGCCTGGGCGACCTGGACGTGTGAAAACAAGTGGTTCGCTCGAGACATCCTCAACACACCTTCATGTTAGACGTCCGCCTGGGCGACCTGGACACATGAAAACAAGCGCTTCGCTCGAGACGTTCTCAGCACCTCCTCATGCTAGACATCCGCCTGGGCGACATGGACACGTGAAAGCAAACGTCCGCTCGAGACATCCTCAACACATCTTTATGTTAGACATCCGCCTGGGCGACCTGGACACGTGAAATCGAGCATTTCGCTCAAGACATTCTCAACACAACTTCATGCTAGACATCCGCCTGGGCAACCTGGGCGCGTGCAAACAAGCGTCTCAATCGAGACGTCCTCAACACATCCCCATGCTAGGCATCCGCCTGGGTCACCTGGACGCGTAAAACAAGCGACTCGCTCGAGCTATCCTCAAAACGAATCCTCACGCTTGACATCTGCCTGGGCAACCTGGACGCGCGAAACCAAGCGTCTCGCTCGAGACATCCTCAAGACCTGGGCACGTGAAAACACGCATTTCACTTGAGAGATCCTATGCCTTCTGGTCTCGAGGAGAGGACAATCCATAACACAACATCAGCGTTGCCCTCGAGACATCCTCGACATGTCTTGCAAAACAAGCGTTTCGCTTGGGACATCCGACCTCGTTAGTTATCGCAGAATAACTCCGCCATCTTCACATCAAAACCAAAAGTGAAACCTACTAAAAGAGAACCCTGGGCCCGCGCCCTTTCCGGAAAACGGACCACGAACTACATGCTGGAAGCCTGGAAAGCAAGACACTCCAGTCGGCCTGCTTGCTGCGTGGTGCAGAAAGCTCTGCCCAGAGAGGGCCCAAAAACGGCCTCCGACAGCCAAGAGGTCCCCCCTGGCCCCGAGAGGCCCCAAGAGGCCCCAAGAGGCCCCCAAGAGGCCACTCAGAGGCCCCTAAGAAGCCCCCAGGAAGCCCCCAGGAGGCCCCGAGAGGGCCTCAAGAGGCCTCCTCCTCCTCCTCCTCCTTTTCTTCCCTCTCCTGCCTCTCCTGCTCCTCCTGCTTCTCCTCCTCCTCCTCCTCCTCCTCCTCCTCCTCCTCCCTCTTCCTCCTCCTCCTCCTCCTCCTCCTCTTCTTCCCTCCCTCCATTGTTCCCCTTCCAAGTCTTCCCCAAAGGAGTTGACACGCTGGGAGAACGCATAGTCCAATCGTGTGGTCAGAGTTCAGCCCAACGTTTGCACGTGTGG